GTTTTATTTTTATTATTTATTATTTCCCTTCTACGTGACTTTACCGAAAGAACCAAGAAGATGGAGACGCTCTATAACGCTATTAACATCACATTTGTTATCAAGTTACAGTGTAGCATTATCCGTTCCTTTCCCGTTAAAAACGATAGTCTCGTATGAGTGTTAACATTTGTTTTGAAGCACTCTGTACACACAACGGCCGTCAGGGCCGGGATCGAACCCACGACCTCCTGTGTACCAGGTGAAGTCGTCGACATCGCACCACGCTTGTGGAAGAGCAATGCCGTGACCATACTTCGCCACTCTGGCCAGCACGGATCGGGTGAAGGTGGTGGTTTGGTTTTTGCTGTGGTGCCCTCTGCTGTCCACGACACCGATGGCTGCTGCTGCTGCTGCCACTGCCGCCGCTACCACTGCCGCCACTACCACTGCCGCCACTACCACTGCCGCCACTACCACTGCCGCCACTACCACTGCCGCCACTACCACTGCCGCCACTACCACTGCTGCTGCCGCTGCTGCCACTACCGCTGCTCAGAGGTCGCAAACGGGTTTTGATTCCTTACCCGTACCCGGCCGCACCAGGGTCGCAATCAGGTACCTGTACCCGGCCGTATCCGTACCCGGCCGTACCCGGCCGGGTATCGGGTAGGGTACGGGTATCGGGTACCCGATTGCGACCTCTGGGATGAAGCCATGTTGCAGGCGCGGGTGGGTTGATTCTAGGAACTTGAATTGTGAGAAGAGACAAGACGTTGGGAAATGAGTGACAAACGGTTACTCACAAGTGACTCACGGCCTACCCGTACCCGGCCTCACCAGGGTCGCAAACGGCTACCCGTACCCGGCCGGGTACAGGTAGCCGGGTATCGGGTAGGGTACGGGTATCGGGTACCCGGTTGCGACCTCTGCCACTGCTGCCAACCCCGTCTGTTGCGTACGGCGGGAACGATCCAGTTGACGTGGGTTTTGAGAAATGGGCAACTTGGACACAACCACAACAGCAGCAGCAGCAAGAATAACAACATTAATAATGATTACTCCAGTTGTGTCGTTTAATTGCAACACAACTCTCCCCAGGGTCTCTCTCGCTCCCTGCCTCCCTCCCCCTCTCTATCGCGCTCACTCGCTCTCGCTGTCGTTTTTTTACGATCAATGGAAACAAGGAGATGCTCGGTGTAGTCGGCACTTTGCTTCGTTCATTATTTCGGTTGTTTTAATGCTTTGTTTTATGTAACCGCCCCATTTTAATGAAAGATTCCACGAAAGACACTCTCTCTTATTCGTGGTTCTTTCGGTAAAGTCACGTATGAAGGGAAATAATAAAATAATAAAAATAAAACAATTACATTCTCACGACGTTTCGATTGCAACATCAAGTAATCATCATCAGGTGTGAAAACCACTCTCTCCTTCAGCCCCTCGCTCCGTCTCCCTTCCTCTGCACGGATGACGACCTCTTGAACTTCTCGGTTCCCATGGACTCCTGTGCAGTGGCACCGCCTGCACACTTGAGTAGCTACGTCACAGCCCCCCCACCCCACCCATCCCACCCATCCCACCCATCCCACCCATCCCAACCCGACTTGGAATTGAACATATTGCGGCTTTCTCTTCTCCGTGGCCACCATCGGCCAAACACGACGTAATTATTTAAACATTGATCATTGATGTTCGTTGTTGTTGTTGGATGTTTTTGTTGTTGTTTCTTTGGGTGTTGTTATTGTTGTTGTTACGGTGCGGCGATCAACTTTTTTTTTACATCGACGCAATTAGGGTTCATTAGCAAGACGCATTCACGATGCTCCGTCATCACAGCTTTCGTAATTAATTAATCGTCACTCTCGTCTTAATGGATTATATCGTTGCTTTTGTTTACGCGTAACATCTCCCCCCACCCACCCATCCATCACCCCCCACCCCACCCCCATCGCACACAAAAACAAAGATCTCCTGTATAGCCTCGACATAGCTTTGGGGCAGGTGCTGTTAGCGAGTAGCAGCGCCTACGAAGGCCGGCACGGCACACGAGGGGGTGGGTGGCCAGCCCCACACACACACACCCACACATCCCCACACACACACACCCACACACCCACACGCACACACGCTCCTACCCAAAGACAACGATCCCCCTTATAGCCTTAACAGACTGTAGGGGCAAGTGCTGTTAGCGAGCACCTATGAAGGCCTGCACGGCACACGAGATGGTGGGTGGCCAGGACCACACCCGACCGCCTTTGTCTTCAGATATTTACACGTCGCACCAGGTATTCATTTGAGGCTGAGTCGACCTAGAGGATGCCCAGAACCGGTTCAGATTACAGCCACTGCTCTTGGCCGTGAGCGGGAATCAAACTCGGGTCGCCAAGTTCGCAGCTCAGAGCAGCGTGCCAACCGTGACGCTACCGCTCCCCCCTATAGGCACAGACGCACAGACACACGCGCTCCTGTCCACACACGCACACGCTCTCCCACAGACACACACGCTCCTGTCCACCCACGCACACGCTCTCCCACAGACACACGCGCTCCTGTCCACCCACGCACACGCTCTCCCACAGACACACACGCACACGCTCTCCCACAGACACACGCGCTCCTGTCCACCCACGCACACGCTCTCCCACAGACACACACGCTCCTGTCCACCCACGCACACGCTCTCTCACAGACACACGCGCTCCTGTCCACCCACGCACACGCTCTCCCACAGACACACGCGCTCCTGTCCACCCACGCACACGCTCTCCCACAGACACACACACGACACAACACGACACAGAGACCACCACCCCCGGACAGCCTCAACAGACTGCAGCCAGCAAGGTGATGCGGTTCGCGAGAGACGCTCGTGGGTAGGACCAGCACGCCCCCCCCCCCGCTGCCCCAATAAGAATATTTATTTATTTACTTCAAGGTTTCATCATCTTGGTTCTTTCGGTAAAGTCACGTAGAAGGAAAATAATAAAATGATAAAAATAAAACATAATAAAATAATTCTCACGACGTTTCGGCCACAACGCAACCACCTGAAGACGGCTGATTGCGTTGTGGCCGAAACGTCGTGAGAATTATTTTATTATGTTTTATTTTTATTATTTTATTATTTTCCTTCTACGTGACTTTACCGAAAGAACCAAGAAGATGAATCCCTGCAGTCACAAAAGCTTTAAATCGAAATTTTATTATGTTTTATTTTTATTATTTTATTATTTTCCTTCTACGTGACTTTACCGAAAGAACCAAGAAGACGAATCCCTGCAGTCACGAAAGCTTTAAATCGAAATTTTATTATGTTTTATTTTTATTATTTTAGTATTTTCCTTCTACGTGACTTTACCGAAAGAACCAAGAAGACGAATCCCTGCAGTCACGAAAGAAGCTTTGAATCGAAATTTTACTTCAAGGTTCTTCCGGCTCCTCCTTCCTCTTCTTCCTCTTCTTCTCCTCCTCGAGTGTCGAGGTGCCCCCCCCTCCCCCCCATCGCCCCCCTCCCCCCCCTCCCCCACCCTCCCCCACCGGCTCGTCAGCAGTCCCCGCACGGCCGCGTCTTGCAGCGGAGAGACGCCCTCCCGCCCGCTCGCCCGCTCGAATTCCTCACTAGGGAATGATCGCTTCTGACAACTTCATCTCTCCCTACCCCCCCATCGCCCCGCCCCCTCCCCCGCCGAGTAGCGTAACGAACGCGGGGGGCAGGTAGCGGGGGTGCCTTGCCCCCCACCACCGCCCCCCTCGCCCTGGTGGCCAAAGCTGCGAGATGCCCCCCCCCCACCCCCCTTTCAAACCCCCTTGTCACGATCTGACCCCGTGCCCCTACTGGAACATCTGTGACAAGAGAGCTTCACAGATGATCGGAATCCTCCCCCTGGTATGAATGAATTGATTCTGATTCTGAGATGTGTTTTCGACAACGGTGTAAAACAACAACACAACAACAACAACTTAAAGCACGGTCTAGATATTATTCCGACGAAAATGCTGTCGCGCAAAGTTCCACGTTTAATTTTAGTTCGACGAGAGCGCGAACCTTTGGCTTCCGCAGGTAGCGCACCGCGCGTTTTGTTTCTACGTCCTCCTCCTCGTCGTCGTCGTCGTCGACTTCGTCGCAGTGTCACCGGGGTAGACGAGCAGGGCTGCTGCATTTCGGTGAAGACGGAGAGGACCATGCCCCCCCCCCCGCACCCTCCTCCCACAGCGTGAAATGTTGGAGACCGTGAGGGTGACGACGACGACGATGAGCACGTGGGTCAGGGCAGGAGGAGGCCGCCGCGACATTGAATCGCTTTGAGGGTGCGACCGTGCGAAGAGACACATCGCAGTAGTGGGGGGGGGGGGGCACCATCTGAGCGATTGCCGCACCGCCAAGCTACGGTGGCTAGGAGATGTTAACTACCTCGCCTGGTGCGCAGGAGGTCGTGGTTTCGATCCCGACCCTGACGCCTGCTGCTGTATATTTGGAGTTTGCGTGTCTCTCTCTCATCATTATCACGGTGGCTAGGAGATGTTAACTACCTCGCCTGGTGCGCAGGAGGTCGTGGTTTCGATCCCGACCCTGACGCCTGCTGCTGTATATGTGGAGTTTGCGTGTCCCTCTCTCTCTCATCATCACCACGGTGGCTAGGAGATGTTAACTACCTCGCCTGGTATACAGGAGGTCGTGGGTTCGATCCCCACCCTGACGCATGCTGCTGTATATTTGGAGTTTGCGTGTCCCTCTCTCTCTCATCATCACCACGGTGGCTAGGAGATGTTAACTACCTCGCCAGGTATACAGGAGGTCGTGGGTTCGATCCCCACCCTGATGCCTGCTGCTGTATATGTGGAGTTTGTGTGTCCTTTCCCTTCTACGTGACTTTACCGAAAGAACCAAGAATATGAATCCCTGCAGTCACGAAAACTTTAAATCAAAGTTTACGTTTAGTTCAACAGCACTTGCCCCAAGAGAACTGACGAGGCTGTACGGTTGGGATCTTTGTCTTTCCTCTGTCCGCTCGCAGAGCCGCAGTTTGTGAACGCCGTGGAGTACGGGAACTACATCTACTACTTCTTCCGCGAGATGGCTGTGGAGTACAGCTCCATGGGCAAGGTGAGGACGTGGTGGCGAGATGTCACCGACCTCGCCTGGCATGCGGGAGCTCGTGGGTTCGATCCCGACCTTGAAGATGCCTGTATATTTGGAGTTTGCGTCTCTCTCTCTCTCTCATCATCATCACGGTGGCTAGGAGATGTTAACTACCTCGCCTGGTATGCAGGAGGTCGTGGGTTCGGTCCCGACCCTGACGCCTGCTGCTGTACATTGGTTGGTCCTCTCTAGCATCCCACATGGCTGAGAGTACCCGCATGGGCGGAGTCGTGGCGTCCGTGAGCCTTCTCCTGAGTTGTGTGTCTCTCTCTCATCATCACCACGGTGGCTAGGAGATCAGAGGAAACAAGAAGATGCTCGGTGTAGTCGGCACTTTGCTTCGTTCATCATTTCGTTTATTTATTTATTTATTTTAAATGCTTTGCTTTATGTTAACCTCCCCCCCCCCCCACACTTTTTAAATGAAAGATTTAACAAAAGATGTCTCGCTCTGCTCTCCTTACCCCTCGCTCTCTCTCTCTCCCCGTGGTGGTCGCGTGGATATTTCTCCGCGTCTTTCGGGTTTTTCTTTTCTCTCTCGACGTCGTGAGTTCGGAGATATTTGGCTGCTATGAATGTCCACACGGTGATGATGAGCCGCTTCGTTGGGCCATCATCTTCGATAGCCAGGGTCGTTTCTGAAAAACTGAGCTGTGTAGCTCAGTGGGGCCTCCTTGTTGAGGCGACCGCCCCGGGCCCCGCACATTGGGGGGCTCCGCGCTTCGACCTCACGGGGTGTCAGATGTAATACTACCGGGGGGGTGGGGGGGGTTGCCCCGCACACTCCCCATACCCCCACACACCCCCACACACCCCCACACACCCCCACACACCCCCCACACACCCCCGACACACCCCCACGCACCCCCACACCCCCCCCCCACACACCCCCGACACACTCCCACACACCCCCACACATCCCCACACCCCCCACACACACCCCCCACACACCCCCGACACACCCCCACACATCCCCACACCCCCCACACACACCCCCGACACACCCCCACACACCCCCACACATTCCCACACCCCCCCTCCCACACACCCCCCACACACCCCCGACACACCCCCACACACCCCCATACACACTCCACACACACTCCACACACCCCCCACAACCCCCACACCCCCCCACCCCCCCCCCCCACACCCCCCACACCCCCCACACACCCCCCACACCCCCCACATCCCACACACCCCACACCCCCCCCCACCCCCCCACACCCCCCCCCCCACACACCCCGCACACCCCCACACACCCACACACCCCCCCACACACCCCCACACACACACCCCGCACACCCCCACACACCCCACATCCCACACACCTCACACCCCCCCCAACCCCCCACACACCCCCACACACACACCCCGCACACCCCCACACACACATACCCTTATGGATGGCCCTGAAGGGCAGGGCACGACGTAGTCGACATTCAAACAAACTACCGCCCACCGCCTCATTGTTCTCATTGTTGCATTGTGTCCAGCCAGCCCCTCTCTTGGGGGGTCTCTGCGCGTGTCTGTGGGTCTCTGTGTGAGTCTGTGGGTCTCTGTGTGAGTCTGTGGGTCTCTGTGTGTGTCTGTGGGTCTCTGTGTGTGTCTGTGGGTCTCTGCGCGTGTCTGTGGGTCTCTGTGTGAGTCTGTGGGTCTCTGTGTCTGTCTGTGGGTCTCTGTGTGAGTCTGTGGGTCTCTGTGTGAGTCTGTGGGTCTCTGTGTGTGTCTGTGGGTCTCTGTGTGTGTCTGTGGGTCTCTGTGTGTGTCTGTGGGTCTCTGTGTGAGTCTGTGGGTCTCTGTGTGAGTCTGTGGGTCTCTGTGTGAGTCTGTGGATCTCTGTGTGTGTCTGTGGGTCTCTCTGTTAGCCTGTAAGTCAAAAACATAAATAAAGATTCCTCTTTGATTCCTACTGGAACCCAGTCGGCTTCACATTTTCACTCCCAGCAACAACAAACAACCACAAACAACAACCTCATTTCACAGACGACGTCACCACCACCACCGCCACCACCACCTCATTTCACAGACGTCACCGCCAACCACAAGTTTGTTCACCGCACGATGCCGTGCCGACGTGCGCCGGGACGCGGCGGGGAAGTCCACCGACTCGCGCTCGCGACCGCCGGCGCTGACCCCCGCTCTGTTCTAGATTTGAATCTTTCGTGACTGCAAGGATTCATATTCTTAGGTTTTTTCGGTAAAGTCACGTAGGTAAAAAAAATTTGAATTAATAAAAGTAAAATAAACTTTACCGAAAAACCTAAGAATATGACTCCCGCTCTGTTCTAGATTTGATGCTTTCGTGACTGCAAGGATTCATATTCTTAGGTTTTTTCGGTAAAGTCACGTAGGTAACAAAAAAAACTTTACCGAAAAAACCTAAGAATATGACTCCCGCTCTGTTCCCCGCCCGCGCCCCGCCAGGTGGTCTTCTCGCGAGTGGCGCGCGTCTGCAAGAACGACGTCGGGGGCTCGCAGCGCGTGCTGGAGCGCCACTGGACGTCGTTCCTGAAGGCACGCCTCAACTGCTCGGTGCCGGGCGAGCCGCGCTTCTACTTCAACGTGCTGCGCGCCGTCACGGGGGTCGTGACGGCGCGAGGCAGGGCACTCGCCGTCGGAGTGTTCACCACGCCGCAGAACAGGTGAGAGTGTGTGGGTGTGTGGGTGTGTGGGTGAGAGTGGGGGGGGTGTGGGTGGGTGTGTGTGTGTTGGTGTGTGGGTGAGTATGTGTGGGTGAGAGTGTGTGGGTGGGTGGGTGTGTGTGGGTGGGGAGCGGTAGTGTAGCGGTTAGCGCGCTGTGCTATGAACCTGGCGACCCGGGTTCGATTCCCGCTCACGGCTAACACCAGTGACGATTATCTGAACCGGTCCTGGGCCTCTCCTAGGTCGACTCAGCCTTAAATGAGTACCTGGTGCGGTGTGTAAACATCGCCACTGGGGAGACAAAGGCGGTCGGGCGTGGTGCTGGCCACCCACCCCCTCGTGTACCGTTCCGGCCTTCATAGGTGCTCGCTAACAGCACTTGCCCCTACAGTCTGTTAAGGCTATACGGGGGATCTTTGTCTTTGTCTTTGTGGGTGTGTGAGAGTGTGTGAGAGTGTGAGTGTGAGAGTGTGTGGTGTGAGAGTGTGTGGGTGAGTGTATGTGGGTGAGTGTGTGTGGGTGGGTGAGAGTGTGTGGGTGAGAGTGGGTGGGTGGGTGAGAGTGGGTGGGTGGGTGAGAGTGGGTGGGTGGGTGAGAGTGGGTGGGTGGGTGAGAGTGGGTGGGTGGGTGAGAGTGGGTGGGTGTGTGTGTGTGTGTGGGAGAGAGAAAAAGAAACTGTGAGTGTGTGGGTGAGAGTGTGTGGTGTGAGAGTGGGTGGGTGTGTGTGGGTGGGTGAGAGTGTGTGGGTGGGTGTGTTTGGGTGTGTGGGAGAGAGAAAGAGACACTGTGAGTGTGTGGGAGTGGGTGAGAGTGAGAGTGTGAGAGTGTCTGTGTGTGTGTAATGTGTGTGCTGTGAGAGTGTGGGTGTGAGTGTGAGAGAGACACTGTGAGTGGGTGTGAGAGTGTGTGTGGGAGTGTGTGGGTGAGAGTGTGAGTGTGAGAGTGTCTGTGTGTGTGTAATGTGTGTGGATGAGAGTGGGGAGCGGTGGCGCAGCGGTTAGCACGCTGCGCTACGAACCCGGCGACCCGAGTTCAATTCCTGCTCACGGCCAACACCAGTGACGATTATCTGAACCGGTCCTGGGCCTCCCCTAGGTCAACTCAGCCTCAAATGAGTACCTGGTGCGGTGTGTAAACATCGCCACTGGGGAGACAAAGGCGGCCTTCGTAGGTGCTACTCGCTAACAGCACTTTGTCCCCCAAAAGTGTTGAAGGCCACACGTGGGATCTTTGTCTTGTGTGCGGTGCGTGTGTGGTGCGTGTGCGGTGCGTGTGCGTGTGCGGTGCGTGTGCGGTGCGTGTGCGTGTGCGGTGCGTGTGCGTGTGCGGTGCGTGTGCGTGTGCGGTGCGTGTGCGGTGCGTGTGCGTTGCGTGTGCGTTGCGTGTGCAGTATCCCCGGGTCGGCCGTGTGTGCCTTCGACATGGTGGACGTGGAGGGAGTGTTCGACGGACGCTTCAAGGAGCAGCGGCAGCCCGACGGAGGCTGGACCACCGTGCCCGAAGACAAGGTGCCCAGACCCAGGTGCGTGCCCACGTGTGTGCACGGGGCAACAGCCCCGGGCCCCGTGCTTTGGGGGGGGAGGGGGCGGGCACGCTTCGACGCCACTGTGGCGAGATGTTAATGCCTCGCCTGGTATGCAGAAGGTCGTGGGTTCGATCCTGACCCCTGATGTGATGTTTCGCGAGCCCTGCAACACTATGACTGAGCTGCGTAGCGCTTCATCAGAAGTGAAATTTATAGCAGCCAAATACTCTAAAGGCATTAATTTTGACTGAAAACTTTCATGACTGCAGGAATTCATATTCTTGGTTCTTTCGGTAAAGTCACGTAGATAGAAAATTAAAAAAAATAATGAAATACATTTTCAATAAACATTTAAAAATAAAAATCATAATTATTATTTTCTTTTCTAATTTTTAACTTTATCGAAAGAAACAAGAATAATCTAAACGCATGTCTCTAAATGCGGAGAGAAAAACCGAAGGAACCGGTGAAAAATCCACGTGACCACAGATACACAGCAGCAGGCGTCAGGGTCGAGAATGAACCCACGACCTCCTGCATACCAGGCGAGGTAGTGAACATCTCCTAGCCACCGTGATGATGATGATGAGAGACACGCAAACTCCAAATATACAGCAGCTGGCGTCAAGGTCGGGATCGAACCCACGACCTCATGTACACCAGGCGAGGTAGTTAACATCTCCTAGCCACCGTGATGATGATGAGAGAGGGAGACACGCAAACTCCAAATATACAGCAAACGTCAGGGTCGGCCATGAACCCACAACCTCCTGCATACCAGGCGAGGTAGTCAACATCTCCTAGCCACCATGATGATGATGGTGAGAGAGAGACACGCAAACTCCAAATATACAGCAAACGTCAGGGTCGGGAATGAACCCACAACCTCCTGCATACCAGGCGAGGTAGTTAACATATCCTAGCCACCGTACATCGCCTAGCCACGTTGATTATGATGAGAGAGAGAGACACGCAAATTACAAATATACAGCAGCAGGCGTCAGAGTCGGGATCTAACTCACGACCTCCTGTATACCAGGCGAGGTAGTTAACATCTCCTAGCCTCCGTGATGATGATGAGAGAGAGAGACACGCAAACTACAAATACACAGCAGCAGGCGTCAGGGTCGGGAATGAACCCACGACATCCTGCATACCAGGCGAGGTAGTTAACATCTCGCCACCGCACCCCCACTAAGTACGGCCCTGCCCCCCATGTTCACATCCTCTCTCGTGCCCCCCCCCGCCCCAGGCCTGGCTGCTGTGCGGGCACTGGCAGTGCGCGTGACGTGCGCAGTTCCGTGGAGCTGCCGGACGAGACGCTGGCGTTCATCAAGACGCACCCGCTGGTGGAGGACAGCGTGCCAGCCCTGCTGCACCGGCCCGGCTTCACCAAGACCATGGTCCGGTGAGTGGTGACGACGGTGGTGACGATGACGACGACGATGATGGTGGCAATGACGATGACATTGATCACAATGACAACGATCACAGCGATCACAACGACGACGATGACAGCGATCACAATGACGACGACGATGACGATGACATTGATCACAATGACAACAATCACAGCGATCACAACGACGACGATGACAGCGATCACAATGACGACGACGATGACGATGACAATGATCACAATGATGACGACGTCGATGATGATGATGACAACGATCACAATGATGACGATTACAATGATCACAATGATGGCGACGATGATGACAACGATGACATTGACCACAATGATCACGGCGGATGATGACGACGATGAATTATGACGATGATGATGAAGATGCCAATGATCACAATGACAACGATGACAATGATCACGACGACGACGATGACGATGATGACGACGATGACATCGACCATAATGATTACGGCGGATGACAACGATGCCGAATGATGACGACGACGACGATGATGATGATGCCAACGATCACAATAAAAGCTTTCGTGACTGCAGGGATTCATCTTCTTGGTTCTTTCGGTAAAGTCACGTAGAAGGGAAATAATAAACTAATAAAGAATAAAACATAATAAAATCATTCTCACGACGTTTCGGCCACAACGCAAGCAACCGTCCTCAGGTGAAGACCAGGTCTGTCGGGGAGACAGCGTCTGTGGCCGAAACGTCGTGAGAATTATTTAATGTTTTATTTTTTATTATTTTATCATTTCCCTTCTACGTGACTTTACCGAAAGAACCAAGAAGATGAATCACAATGACAACGATGACGATGACATCGACCACAATGACGACGACGCCGTCCCCCCCCATAGGTACCGCCTCACCAAGATCGAGGTGGACACGGAGGCGGGTCCCCACGGCAATCACACGGTGATCTTCCTGGGCTCGGAGGACGGCGTGCTGCTCAAGGTGCTCTCCCAGGAGGGGGGAGCCTGGGCCGGCGGGGGCGGCGGGGGGGGGCCGACCGGGGGGGGGGCTCCGGTGGAGGGGGCTGCGCCCTCGGGCCTCCTGCTGGAGGAGATCCACGCCTACAACCCGCACAGGTGACGGAGCGCTCGCCTACACGCCGTCGCATTACCTGTGTACGCTGGACGTAGCCGAACGTGCTAATCGGAGGTGCGGGGGAAGAACAACAAACTAAACACAAAAAATCAGGGGGGTCTAGAGGTAAACCCTCTGACCTGACACTTGAGAACTAGAGGTAAAACCTCTGACCTGACACTCGAGATCTAGAGGTTAAACATCTGACCTGACACTCGAGATCTAGAGGTTAAACATCTGACCTGACACTCGAGATCTAGAGGTTAAACCTCTGACCTGACACTCGAGATCTAGAGGTTAAACCTCTGACATGACACTCGAGATCTAGAGGTTAAACCTCTGACCTGACACTCGAGATCTAGAGGTTAAACCTCTGACCTGACACTCGAGATCTAGAGGTTAAACCTCTGACCTGACACTCGAGATCTAGAGGTTAAACCTCTGACCTGACACTCGAGATCTAGAGGTTAAACATCTGACCTGACACTCGAGATCTAGAGGTTAAACCTCTGACCTGACACTCGAGATCTAGAGGTTAAACCTCTGACCTGACGTATGTACGTTGAACTTCTTTCACACCGTACGTAGCCGTCCGTGCTAATCGGAGGTTTCAGGGGAAGAAGAACAAACTAAACACAACGAAAAACATTTCTGAATACATTTGTTTGTTAATCTCGTTGATTTAAAAGTGCATCACAGATCCCAGCCGTTCTCCTTATATCAGAAGGGAGGAGCGTTCCAGACGGCCGCAGAAGTGCATCTGAAAGGATCTGAAAGCGCCGATGATGATGATGATGACGGTGCTGCTGCTGATTATGGTGGTGATGGTGCTGATGATATTGACGATGGTGCTGACGTTGATGATGGTGCTGACGTTGATGATGGTGCTGATGGTGCTGATGATGATGTTGATGGAGCTGATGATGATGTTGATGGTGCTGGTAATGATGTTCATGGTGGTGATGAAGATGGTGCTAATGCTGATGATGGTGCTGATGCTGACGATGGTGATGATCCTAATAATGGTGCTAATGCTGATAATGGTGCTGATGATGATGATGACGGTGGCGCTGATGACGGTGGTGCCCCAGGTGTAACGTGGACGGCGTGGAGGACCGGCGCATCGTGGGCCTGCAGCTGGACCGTGCGCACCACGCACTCTTCGTCGCCTTCCCGTCGTGCATCGTCAAGGTGGCGCTCAGCCGGTGCGAGCGCCACGCACGGTGCAAGCGGTGAGACCCCCACGACCCCCCCCCCCCCCCCGTGCATAGCCTCAACGGACTGTTGGGGCGAGCGCTCTTAGCGAGACGCAGCGACTGTGAAGGCCGGCGCTGTGGCACACGAGGGGACAGGTGGCCGGCATCCCGTCCGCCCGGCCGCCTTTGTCTCCCCAGTGGCGATGTTTGCGCATCGTAGGCAGGTATTAATTTTGAGGCTGAGTTGACCTAGGGCGAGGCCCAGGACCGGTTCAGATCATCTGTGTCCCCACACTCACCCCCACCCCCTGTCCCCACACTCACCCCCACCCCCTCCGTGTCCCCTCCGTGCGCGGAGCAGAACCTGCATTGCGTCACGTGACCCGTACTGCGGCTGGGCTCGCGAGGGGTCGTGCGCCCGCATCACCGCCCCCACCAGGTGAGGCCACGCCCACCCCTCACCCCACCCTCACCCCACCCTCACCCCTACCCTCACCCCTACCTCACCCTCACCCCACCCTCACCCCTACCCCACCCCACCCCTACCCCACCCCACCCCTACCCCACCCTCAGCCCTACCTCACCCTCACCCCTACCCCACCCCTACCCTCACCCCTACCCCACCCTCACCCCACCCCTACCCCACCCCACCCCTACCTCACCCTTACCCCACCCTCACCCCACCCCTACCCCACCCCACCCCTACCTCACCCCTACCCCACCCTCACCCCACCCCTACCCCACCCCACCCCTACCTCACCCCTACCCCACCCTCACCCCTACCCCACCCCACCCCTACCCCACCCTCAGCCCTACCTCACCCCTACCCCACCCTCACCCCTACCCCACCCCACCCCTACCCCACCCTCAGCCCTACCTCACCCCTACCCCACCCTCACTCCTACCCCACCCCACCCCTACCCCACCCTCAGCCCTACCTCACCCCTACCCCACCCTCACTCCTACCCCACCCCACCCTCACCCTACCCTACCCTCACCCCTACCCCACCCTCAGCCCTACCTCACCCCTACCCCAGCCTCACTCCTACCCCACCCTTACCCTACCCCCACCCTCACCCCACCTCACCCCACCCCACCTCACCCCTACCCCACCATCACTCCTACCCCACCCCACCCCTACCCCACCCCACCCTCACCCTACCCCACCCCACCCCTACCCCACCCTCAGCCCTACCTCACCCCTACCCCACCCTCACTCCTACCCCACCCTCACCCCTACCCCACCCCACCCCTACCCCACCCCACCCCACCCCCACCCCTACCTCACCCATACCCCACCCATACCCCACCCCACCCCTATCCCACCCCCACCCCTAACTCACCCCCACCCCTACCTCACCCATACCCCACCCCACCCCTACCCCACCCCACCCCTACCCCACCCCACCCCTACCCCACCGCTACCCCACCTGCCATGGACTCGTGTTGACGGCACGTTCCCGCCGTCCCTCCCCGTGTGTCTAACCCCGCACGCAGCGTTCCGTACGAACAGGACATCGAACACGGCAACTCCAAGGGGCTCGAGTACTGCCAAGGTAAGGAGGCTTTCCCCTTCTGCAATGCATTCTGGGGCGGGTTGAGGGTTGGGCAGCAATGCGTTTCCCTCTCAGCACGTGGAAATTGACAGTTGCAGCCAAAGATTCTGAAGGCACACTCAATTCTAAACGCCCATACAATCACGTGACCGGGAACATTTGTTTGGCTGTGTCGGCTGGGTGGTGGAGGGCTCTAACAACGCGCTACTCGTTTCCGCGTCAGTACGTGGCCTAAACACGGAACTATGTTGTGAATCGTAACGCCGGGTGCGGAAACGCACGTGTTTAAGCGTGTGTGTTTGTGTGTGTGTGCGTGTGCGTGCGTGTGTGCATGTGTGCGTGTGTGTGTTTTTGTGCGTGTGTGCACGCGACTTTGTGTGCGTGTGCATGCCTGTGCGTGTGTGTGTACGTGTGTGTGCGTGTGCATGCCTGTGCGTGTGTGCGTACGTGTGTGTGTGTGCGTGCGTGTGCGTGTGTGTGTACGTGTGTGTGTGCGTGTGTGTGTACGTGTGTGTGTGCGTGTGCCTGTGTGTGTACGTGTGTGTACGTGTGTGTTGGTGTGCGTGTGTGTGTGTGTACGTGTGTGTGTACGTGTGCGTGCGCGCGTGTGTGCGTGTGTGTGTTTTACAGCCGAAGGCTTCGTGGCAATAAATGGTGAGCCATTCTTTTGCCTTCCTCCCTCCCAGGCCCCTGAGCCTTTGTGTGGGCTTCTGTTTGTTCGCTGCGCCGAGGTGCCATCGGCAGGCATCCCGACAAATCGCGCCTAATAATAATAATAGAACAAAATTCGAGCTGCCACGTTTAATCTGACAAATATATATAAAATACAATCACGATTTTTTGTATTATTTACAAGAAAAAGTAACAAGAAATTTTTCGAATTACATTTTTATCATTATTATTTTACAAAATGCGCCTTTGTCGGATTGTTTCTTAGCGCACCCGCCACTAACGCTGCCGCTGCCGCTGAAATGAATACTCTTCATCTGCAAAAGCAATGCCTGGGGTCCGCCGCTCAGATTTTCCTTCATTACGCGTCCAATTCTCCGCAAAGCAGTTGGGAGCAAACGCGGCTCCGTATTTAGATGTAGCCAACGGCCGAGATGCTCGCAATTCTGGCGGCGCTGGTTGCGACTACCGGCAAAGCGTCCCCCGTGCCAGTCGTTCGATCCGGCGCGTGGATCGCGCTCCTCCAACATTGCCGGCGGCGGTGTGCCGAAGCCAGTGACGGCTTGACATTTAATTCGGCTTCGTCGGGTGGTGGAGAGGGGCGAACGACAACGAATTTCAAACGACCACCACAGCCACCAGCGCCACGTGGCGGTGGTGTCGGTGGTGGTCGTTTGAAAGTGCCCACCACAATTATTCTGATGCGGAGTTCTCGAACGTGGAGCGCACCGCGGTCGAGCGACCCTGAAGCGGCCCTCGGAAACGAGCGATCCGCACGGTCGGCCACGTACGACGCGAAAGAGGTTTCACGGTACGTGGGTGGGTGCCGACCCTTGGCTGGTACCGCACGAAAAGTTGCGAGAACGCCATTTGCGAAAAAGTCGCCTGGGTAAAAGTGACGCTCCGACAAGAGCGTCGCATCCTGAAATTATACCGTCGACGCGCCCCGACGGACCCCACGAACCGCGGTTCTAACCGCGTCCGGAACGCACGTGCCCCCCCCCCCCCCTACGTACGTAAACGTGCGTGTACGTACGTTACCGCCCGCACAGATTTTATTTTATTATTTTACACGGGAATAAATATTTCCAGGAGCGCCGAGGCCCAAGTGAGATGCTTCCGGTGCAATAACAGAGAACGCTATTAAATTAATTTCGGGAGAGCGCTGAAAAATCAAGGGCGCGTGTTCTCTGCCCGCCCCGCTAAACCAACCTCTCCCGCCCCCGGGTCAAGCCACCGAATTAATATTTTCCCTTTCTTTTCCAATTTATATTCCTTCTCGCCGCCGTAATATTTCGCGCGGGGGGGGCGCGTTCGCGTGTTCCCGATTCCGCCCGCCTCTCGCTCCGCCAGCCCCAGATGCGAGGTCGCGCAGTCAATAACCGTCCATCAATCACCGGCTCGACACCGCTCCACGTCCACAACAAACGCAGGAGCGACCCGCTCCTCTCCGCTTCCCTCTCCGCTCCCCTCCCTACCTCCTCCTCTCTGCTTGGGGTCTGCCGCTGTCTATTGCATGCCGTAGAGATGCGTAGAGACCCATTGACTTGCGTGCAGACCCGTAGACGTTAATAGAGACCAGAAGGGTTGGCCCGTACGACAACGAGAGTCTTAAGTCGGTGTTCTTCATTGCAAGGCCCTGCGGGGCTACTGGCGGTCCCCCTATTGCCGTGAAAGCCCCAATAGTTTCAAATGTGTGGCGGTCCCTCCTCACAATGATGATGTCTTATTGGCGAAAGTGCCCCCCCCCACCCCCCGCTCTGAAAATTAGTGAAGATCACCCCCACCGTTTGCTTGATGAAAAGTCGGTAATTGTTTTTTTACCCTTTAATCTGGCAACAAAACTGACACCTTTTTTTACAAGGAGCCATGTTTGCATAGACCACAATACCTGCAGTCGTAATACAAACAAAAAACATAACTCTGATAATGTATGCACTGTGCTTGAAGTTGATTGGTCCACACCCGAGACAGCTTTCCTTAGAGCCTAGTCTCACATGGTGTTGGACCATATGACGCCAAAAGGCGCACAACTCAAAGACAATGCACCACCAGAGTATGAGAGCTCGGGGTACGCATTTACACCATTGAAACCTAATTTGCCAGTAAAAAAATATGACAATTGTTTTATTACCCTTTTATCTGGCAACAAAATGGTGATGAAAAGTCATTGTAAAATCAATTGGGTATAGTGAGATTATTATTATTATTTTTAAAGTCAGTGATTATTATTGTTAAGGTCAGTGATTATTCTTGCTCTAAAGGAGCAGCCACGCAAAGCGCGTTTCCTGTTTGCTTCCCCTGGGAATGTGGTGGAAATTCCACATTCCTATGGCGGGGGTGAGTTACTCCATAGGACAGCCAATGTTGACTTGCCCACAAAGTAGTGCGAATTTTATCGACCTATGGGGATGATTGGCTGAGCCAAAACCTCAACCACTAAGCCTTAACTCCGAATCCCTAAGCCTCAACCCCAAACCTTAACTCCTGACCATGCACCCTGACAAAAACCTAAACACTCACAAAAACCGAAACTCTACACTCCAAATCTTCAACCCTAACTCCTAACCCTCGACTCCTAACTTCAATCCCAAAACCCTAACCAGAACCCTAACACCGTGACTACTCCGCACCCTGACCCCAAACGCCAAACCCTAAACCTTAACTCCAAAACCCTGACACTAACCTCCTACACCCCCCCCCCCCCCCCAATAACATCTGATTGGATGAAACTCCTGGTCTGCGCTTGGATATGTGAAAAAAGCAAATCCTCAACTCGGCGACCACGTGACCTCCCTTCGTGAAGTGTTCCCGCGTTGACCCTTGACCCCCGCCCCACCCGGGCACCCCCCCCCCCCGCGCGTCTCAACTCTTGACCTCGCCGCAGACTCTGCCCAGCAGCAGCCGCCCCCCACGCCGAGGGCCGGGGGGTCTGGGGGGGCCGGGGGGGCCGCGCCCGCCACGGCCGCCCCCCCCCGCATCACCGCGGGGCACGTGCCGGCCGTGTCGGCAGAGAGGCAACACCCGCCGGGCGCCAAGGAGGGTAAGGAGGGAAGGGCTCGGTTCAAGCGCCTTAGCGGAGAGAGGAGGGAGAGGAGGGAGAGAGACGCTCACACCTCCAACACGTAGTGTTCCTGGTTTGTTCGGTAAAGTCACGTAGGTATGAAATTCAATGGAAAAAATATTATTTAAAAAAATAGTACAATTATAAAATTTAATAAAACAAAAAATATATAAATGATGAATTGAAAAGTCTAAAAGCATTTTTTTATTTTAATAATTGTTTTTATTTTATTTTCTATCTACGTCGCTTTACCGAAAGAACCAAGAATGTTAATTCCTGCGGTCACGAAATATTAAAATCAAAATTCCAACACGTAGGCCCAAGCCTTCTCCAAGCCACCACCTCTATACTCTCATGTGTACATGCACGGGTCTCAGTTGCTAGTCTGTGGCTTCGGCTATGGGTCTCTGTGTGAGTCTATGGTGGGGGGGGGGTCTACGCGAGGCTGTTGAGGCCTATGACAGGCTTTTGAGGCCTATGACAGGCTTTTGAGGGCTGTGGTTGCCGCTTCGTGAGTGGGCGCAGCTGCTCATATGCTTGCGGGTGCCATGAGCCATAAGCGGACCAGCGCCGGGCTACAGACTCGCATAGAGACCCGTAGACTTCCATAAAGACCCGTAGACTTCCATAGAGACCCACAGACTTCCATAGAGACCCGCAGACTTCCATAGAGACCCGTCGACTTCCATAGAGACCCGTAGACTTCCACAGAGACCCGTAGACAAACATAGGGCCTAGTGGTGCAGGCTGTGCAACTGGACCGGGGCCCATGCCCACGACACTTCGCCAACTGATTGCGACCCGCACACACTCTCCGATAAATGTGAAGGATGACATCGGCTCAAATGAATGAACGAATGAATGAAGAGTGGACGGCTACGATCACAATCGCCCACAGCCCCGGGGTGGAGGGGTAGGGTGGGGGGGGACCGAAAATCTTGATTTCACCGCGATCGCTTCCAACGCTCATTGGACCACCGCGCGGCTCTAACAAACAAACAACGCCTTTCCCCCCCCTACCGCGCGACAAATTTCCATGTTCGCCGCAGCCCCGAACCGGCGGTGGAAACTCCACATTCCCGCGGTGGCGGCGAGGCCAGTCGATCCGTAGGCACGGCCACCGATTGGACGGTCACGCGAGGCGTGGAGCGGGAGAGGCGTTGGTTTGTCCCGCGTTGCTTTGCACGTGCACATGCATGGGGCCGAGGCGCTGCCCGAGTGTTTTTGCTTCGTCCGGTACTTGCCGTGGTGTTTCAGTGATGGGTCATGCAAGGGGGGTGGGGTGGGGGGGATTGCTCAGGGCTCTCGTCAATGGTCACACCGCTCCCCTGCTGCTGCTACTACTGCTGCTGCTGCTACTACTGCTGCTGCTGCTACTACTGCTGCTGCTGCTACTGCTGCTGCTGCTACTACTGCTGCTGCTGCTACTACTACTGCTGCTGCTGCTGCTACTACTGCTTCTGCTGCTACTACTGCTGCTGCTGCTAGTACTGCTGCTGCTGCTAGTACTGCTGCTGCTGCTACTACTGCTGCTGCTGCTACTACTGCTGCTGCTGCTACTGCTGCTGCTACTGCTGCTGCTACTGCTGCTGTTGTTGCTACTGCTGCTACTGCTGCTGCTACTGCTGTTGCTGCGACTGCTGCTACGACTGCTGCTGCTACTGCTGTTGCTGCTACTTCTGCTGCTATTGCTACTGCTGCTACTGCTGTTGCTGCTACTGCTGCTACTACTGCTATTGCTACTGCTGCTACTGCTGCTACTGTTGTTGCTGCTACCGCTGCTGTTACTGCTGCCGCTACTACTGCTGCTGCTACTTCTGTTGCTGCTACTGCTGTTGCTGATACTACTGCTGCTGCTGTTGCTGCTACTGCTGTTGCTGATACTACTGCTGCTGCTGCCGCTGCTACTGCTGCTGCTACCGCTACTACTGCCGCTGCTGCTGCTGCTGCCGCCGCTGCATTGGCAGCGGTGCACAACAACAGTCAACCACAACACAAACCTCAGCACATTTAGTTTTTGTCCAGAGCACTGTGCGGCCTTTAAACGAAAAAATAAATCCCAGTTATATTAAAACTGTTAAAAAATATATATATTTGTTAATTTTACCAAGTAGGGGCCTACTGAGCTACGCCCTGGCCATCATGAATGATAGCTCAGTGGAGCGGGCTCATCATCAGCATCGTGGGGAAATTTATATCAGCCAAATACTCTAAAACGCGTGACGTTGATTCGAAATGTGGAGGGGAAAACCCGGAGGACCCGGAGAAAAATCCACGAGAGAGAGAGAGACATTGCAAACACCAAATATACAGCAGGCGGTCAGAGACAAGATCGAACCCACGATCTTCTGCAGATGTAGATGCCACTGGTTCTTCACGTTCTGTAGACGTAGATGCCATTGGTTCTTCACATTCTGCAGATGTAGATGCCACTGGTTCTTCACATTCTAAAGATGTAGATGCCACTGGTTCTTCACGTTCTGCAGATGTAGATACCACTGGTTCTTCACGTTCTACAGATGCAGATGCCATTGGTTCTTCACGTTCTGTAGACGTAGATGCCACTGGTTCCTCATGTTCTGCAGATGTAGATGTCACTGGTTCTACACGTTCTACAAATGTAGATGCCACTGGTTCTACACGTTCTACAGATGTAGATGCCACTGGTTCTCCATGTTCTGCAGATGTAGATGCCACTGGTTCTACACGTTCTACAGATGTAGATGCCACTGGTTCTACACGTTCTACAGATGTAGATGCCACTGGTTCTCCATGTTCTGCAGATGTAGATGCCACTGGTTCTACACGTTCTACAGATGTAGATGGCACCGGTTCTTCACGTTCTACAGATGCAGATGCCATTGGTTCTTCACATTCTGCAGATGTAGATGCCATTGGTTCTTCATGTTCTGTAGATGTAGATGCCACTGGTTCTTCACGTTCTGCCGATGTAGATACCACTGGTTCTTCACGTTCTACAGATGCAGATGCCATTGGTTCTTCACGTTCTACAGATGCAGATGCCATTGGTTATTCACGTTCTGTATACGTAGATGCCACTGGTTCTTCATGTTCTGCAGATGTAGATGCCACTGGTTCTACACGTTCTACAGATGTAGATGCCACTGGTTCTACACGTTCTACAGATGTAGATGCCACTGGTTCTTCATGTTCTGCAGATGTAGATGCCACTGGTTCTACACGTTCTACAGATGTAGATGCCACTGGTTCTACACGTTCTACAGATATAGATGCCACTGGTTCTACACGTTCTACAGATGTAGATGCCACTGGTTCTTCATGTTCTGCAGATGTAGATGCCACTGGTTCTTCACGTTCTACAGATGTAGATGCCACTGGTTCTTCATGTTCTGCAGATGTAGATGCCACTGGTTCTTCACGTTCTACAGATGTAGATGCCACTGGTTCTTCATGTTCTGCAGATGTAGATGCCACCACTGCCATCTATTGTGCGGCGGTTGAACTTACGACTCTCAATCCGAACAGGCAACTTGACCAGACGGACAGGGTTTATTAGTATCTCTCAAAGTTCGTAAGTCAAATGTTCGTAAGTAGAGAAGTTAGCGAAGCGTTGCACCTAAAGGGCGTGCCTCTGCCCATATTTGGTCCAAGCGAAAACCCCGAATCGGGGGGGAGGGGGGGCGCCCCCCCCCCCCCCCCCCCCGCGGACCGAGCGATGCCAGCTTAGGCGTGATTTGCCTCATGTCCGCACGCCCCGGAAATTCGCTCGCAGTCTGTTTGTAGCCTCATTACGGCTGTAAAACAACGAAGTCGATTTTACAACAACAAAAATCTTCAAAGCCGCCCGGCTCCCCCTCCCCTCCCTCCCGGATGAGCGAGCCGAAAGCGTCCGACGCGTTGTGCGCACACCACTTCGGTCGACTTTTGTCGGGCGGTGGAGGTTTCCACGAAAGCTACTCGCTGACAGCACTTGCCCCAACAGTCTGTTGAGGCTATACGGTGGGGAGGGGATCTTTATCTTTGTCTCTACCCGTCTACATGTGTATGTCTGCCTGTGTACGTGCGCCTGCATGCGCGTGTGTGTGTGTGGGTATTGCACTATTGGCAGCATGCTGTGCATTGCGGCGTCATCTCCACCTGTGTGCCCCCCCCCCCCCACCACCATCTTCAAGTCATTGCCGCTATCTCGAGCGCCACCCCTCCCCACCAGCACTGCCTGAGCCTGCTGTTGTCTGCTTCCTGCACCTCCACCTGCACCTCCACCTGCACCTGCACCTCCACCTGCAACTGCGCATTTGCCTTCTCGCCTCCGTCTGTTTTTGTCAAATCCTCCCACGCAGCAATCGCGCGCGGGCCAAATAACAACAACAAAATTACGCAAAAATCCACTCGCTGCCCATGGGAATGTGGAATTGTCTCCTGCCATGGTGGTAGCGCCTCGGGTAAAGTTGGCACGCCCAGCCCCCTTCGCTTGACCAACAACTAGAACATCCTCAACAAGTTTGTCGATAATAACCCCGAGCACGCGCGTGCGTGCGTGTGTGTGTGCGTGTGTGTGTGCATGCGTGTGTGTGTGCGTGCGTGCGTGTGTGTGTGCATGCGTGTGTGTGTGCGTGCGTGTGCGCCCTTAAAAGTAAAAAAGAACATATGACAGTTCGGGCAATTGCCCTTCTTCGTGTGCTATGAAGAAGGGCCATTGCCCGAAACGTCTGTCATGTGTTGTTATTTTCTTTCTTCCTTTTAAGGCCGCAGCGTCACTGACGAGCGCGTCGAGTTTTATTGACCGCGAGCCTGGTGGCACGGGTTCGATACCCCGGGGGTGGCAAGGGCCAACGCCGCTGGCAAGCGATTCCGATCGGAACCGGTCCTAGACCTTCACCAACACCTCCGGTTGTCCGGCGAAAATTAGTCGGAGAGGTGACGAAATCACGCGCCGTTGAGTCGCCCACGCGTGAGTCCCGCCGGACTTACAAGCCCCGCCCACACGCTGGTGGGCGGGGCTTGTAAGGGGTTCTGGTGGAGGGTTTCCCACCTTCGGGATGCAGTGGTGGAGGGTGGGGTGCAGGGTAGCCATCAAATTTTTTTTAAACGGGGCCCAGGTCATTGACCCCCCCACCCCACCTCCCCCCAGAAATTACAATTCTATCGCAAATGTTTCTAAACAATAGCAGAGAACGTTAAACGTCGATGGGATTGGCCCGACCTGACCCCCAGGTGTTCTTGTACGTGCGTACGTATGCATGTTATGTTGAACTCCTATCGCCGCACCGCACGTGGCGAATCGGGGGGTCCCGTTGGGGGGGAGGGCAGCGAGGGACAGCAAACTAAACACAAAAAGCAGTTCTACGGAAAGTGAGAGTGTTTCAATCGAGAAGTGAGTTCTCAATCTACAAATCGTCCTCCTCCTTGGCAACTTTCCACTTTACCTGCACCGTCGCTCTCTCTCTCCGCTCACTCAGCCGCCTCCAATGCTTCGCACAGAAGCCCCCTTTCTCAACGTGCCTCCTCCTCTCTCCAGTCCGCGCATTCCTCGAACCGAAAGCCCAAACCTCCCCGAGCCCTTTCCTCCTCCCTCGACGACGCGACACACTGTTTGCCGTGCGCTTCGCGTGCGTGCGTGCGTGCGTGCGCCGCGGGGAAATGTCGCGGTGGTGAGATGTTGACTACCTCGCCTGGTCTGCAGGACGGTCGCGGCTTCGATACCGACCCCTGTGACGGCTTGTTGTGTACTTGAGGTTTGTGTGTTTTCTCCCTCCTTCTCTCTTCCTCTCCCCCCCTCCCTCCGTGGTCACGTGGATTTTCCTCCGGGTCCTCCGCTCTTTCCCGTCCACATTCAGAATCAACGTCACGCGTTCAGCGCCATTGCGAGTGTCCGACCGCTATGAATTTCCCACGCGATGATGATGATGAGTCACATTGCTCAGTGCACCTCACCCGCTGAAATTAAAATAGTTTGTGGTTTTGCCTGAACGCGTTTGGCGTTTTATTATCTGTCCTTTTGCACCGCCGCCGATGGCAGTGTCGCAAGAAACTGCGGCGTAATGTAAGGACGCGTCGCTTAAATGAGGTGTTCTTATATCCAGCTGAAGCGATGGGAAACCTGGGCAGCGCCTATGATGTGTGTGTGAGTGTGTGCACGTGTGTTCGTTTTAATTTAAGATGAATACTTTTTTTTAACCAGTATAACCTGTGCGTATGACCACGCGCTTTGCTTTATAGGTACGCCGGAGGAATGTTCAAGTTTTTTTAAATCAAAATTGAAAACTTGTTTGTCCACTGTTGTTGTTGTTGCAAAGACATCTCGTCCTGATCCAACTGTGATTTCGTTTCGAGGATCAGTGTTTTTTTCTGTGTTTACATAACCGAGGATATAGCGGCCTCTAGTGGCTGCAGGGACCCACGTGACGTGTACAGGGACTCCTCTACTTACGAACGAGTTAGGTTCCAGAGGTACTGTTCGTAAGTCGATTTGTTCGTAAGTCCAACTTTTACTCCCGTGTACGGTGTGTACACTAAACACGGTGAATGGCATTACCAGTTGTATAATCTCCTGCAGATGCAGATGCCACTGGTTCTTCACGTTCTGCAGATGTAGATGCCACTGGTTCTTCACGTTCTGCAGATGTAGATGCCACTGGTTCTTCATATTCTGCAGATGTAGATGCCACTGGTTCTTCACGTTCTGCAGATGTAGATGGCACTGGTTCTTCATATTCTGCAGATGTAGATGCCACTGGTTCTTCACGTTCTGCAGATGTAGATGCCACTGGTTCTTCACGTTCTGCAGATGTAGATGCCACTGGTTCTTCATATTCTGCAGACGTAGATGCCACTGGTTCTTCACGTTCTGCAGATGTAGATGCCACTGGTTCTTCATATTCTGCAGATGTAGATGCCACTGGTTCTTCACGTTCTGCAGATGTAGATGGCACTGGTTCTTCATATTCTGCAGATGTAGATGCCACTGGTTCTTCACGTTCTGCAGATGTAGATGCCACTGGTTCTTCACGTTCTGTAGATGTAGATGCCACTGGTTCTTCACGTTCTGCAGATGTAGATGCCACTGGTTCTTCACGTTCTGCAGATGTAGATGCCATCACTGCCATCTATGGCACGGCAGTTTAACTTACGACTCTCGGTCCGTACAGGCAACTGGACGTACAGGCAGGTTTGTACGTATCTCTGAAAATTCGTAGGTCGAATATTCGTAAGTAGAGAGTCCCTGTATTCTTCACGTAGCGATATGTTTTGAAAGAACAAAACGTGAATAACCCCACGCGTGATTTGATGCGTGCATTGTTAAGCTGAACGATCGAAACTCGTGGATGATTAAATTAATTGATGCGTCACAGATTTTTTTTTTGAAGTTTGGCCACGGAATGTTCAGGCCAAATCTAAGCCGTAAAAAAACCCTCCACCACCCAACGCAACCGAACGCATTAATTTGCCGCGTGTGAGCGAGCGTTCAACGCGCCCATCATCGTCGTTGTCACAGCTCGCTCACCGGTAAGTCGAAGTTAACCAATGCGTCGTTACCTAACCTCTGACCCCGGACGTTAACCTCTAACCCTCGCCGCCTGCGACCGTTCAAACCACCTGCAACTCCCTTACACCCTCTACCTCCCCCCCCGCACACCACAATCACCACAACCACCACAACCACTGCCGCCACAACCAACCACGACTACGACCACCACAACCACCACCACAACCATCACCACAACAACCACCACAACAACCACCACAACCACCACAACCACCACCACACCCGTCGCAGGCTTCGTGAGTGGCAACCACCTAGGCTCCCTCTTCTCGGACAAGTCGGTGGACGTGACGATCCTGGCGCTCTGCGTCGTGGTGGCCTTCGTGCTGGGCGCGGCGCTGTCGGGCGTCACCGTCTACTGCCTCTGCGGTGAAGGCGGCGCCGTCTGCGCCTCCTCCTCCTCCTCGTCGTCGCCCTCCTCCTCCTCCTCGTCCCCGCACTTCCTCTCCCTCCGCTGCAAGAAGGCCGCCGCGGCCAAGAAGCTCCGAGCGGCCGGCGGCGGCGGCGACGGCGGCGGCGGCGGCGGCGGAGACCTGGGCTCGTCGTACGGCATGGAGACCCACGCCACGCTGGCGCGCCTCAACAGCTACAGCCCCGGGCTGGAGCCGTGCGGCAAACACGACGGCGGCGGCGGTGGCGGCGGCATCGTGCCGCTGGCCGGGCCTCCGACGCCGCCGCTGTCCCACGCGACCGCCATCGCGATGGCGACCGAGATGATGCTGATGATGCCCAACGGGGGCCTGGGCTCGGCGGGCGGCGTCGGCGGGCTCGGCGGCGCCGAGCAGATCCAGACGGAGCTGGCGGCCGGGCTGCCGACGCCGGACGCGACGCCGGTGCTGCCGCTCAAGAACTGCTGCAACCAGGCCCGGCGCGACTGCTGGGAGCAGGAGCGGAACCTGAAGAACGCGGCCGGCAAGAACGCCGCCGCCGCCGCGCTGCTCGGCCAGCACCAGCAGCAGCAGCACCACAACAGCGGTCACCACCACCCTCACCACGCTCACCACGCTCACCACGATCACCACGGAGGTCACCACGGCCACCACCACAACAACCACGGGCATCACCACCACCACCAACATAACGACCAGCAGCAGCTACAGCTACAGCTGCAGCAGCAGCAGCAGCGCCACCCGCAGCAACCGTCCATAGCGGAGATGGCGTACGTGCAGGGCCTGCCCATGAGCCCGGCGTCGGGCGTGCCCCACATCCTGTCGGAGCAAGGCCCGCACCACCTCAGCAGCTACAGTCACACCAACAGCAGCGGGCACCAGCGCGAGCCCAGGGGACATGGAGGCGGAGGCGGCGCCATGGACAAGCTGGATGAGGTGCTGGCCTTCTTCGAAGAGCAGTCGCTGCTGCTCAAGGTGGGCGCCAGCGGCCGCGACGCCCGCCTGCCCACGTCCTGCTCCTCCTCGTCCTCCACTTCGTCCTCCACGTCGTCGTCTTCGGCCGCGGTGACGTCGGCGCCGGCGCGCAACAGCCTGCCGGCGCCGCCGGGCGTGAAGGCGCCGCTCGAGCCGCAGCCTCCGCCGTCCGCCGCCGCCGCCAGCGCCGACAAGAAGAAGCCGCGCGCCGGCGTCCATCACGGCGCCGGCTCGCTGCAGCGTGGCCTGGCCGCCCCCTCCGCCTGCCGCAACCCCAAGGCGCAGGCGGCGCAAGCGGCGCAAGCGGCGCAGCCGCCGCCGTCGGACCTCGCCAGGGGCCGGGAGTCTCCCGACGACGACGCCGCCCCCCCGACCCCGCCGGCGCGGGTCGACTCGGTGCAACCGGGCACGGCGCCGTCGCCGGCATCGTCGTCGGCGCCGTCGGCGCACGCCGGGTTCGCGCTGCCGCAGGCGCGCTGCTTCGGCGCCACCGCCACCGCGCCCCAGCCCCAGCACAGCCTCCTGGCGCGCCAGTCGAGCTTCTCCGGCGGCGGCGGCTGCGGCGGCGCGCTGCCGCCGGTCGGCCTGATGCCGCGCACCAACGCGGGCGTGAAGCGCTCCCACTCGGTGAAGCCGGACGTGCCGCCCAAGCCCGGGGCAGCGGCGAAGGCGGCACCCTGCGTCTGAGAGTGCCGGCGCGCGGCGGTGAGGGTGGTGGTGATGTACCCCCGGGGATTTGTCTCGACGGGAGGACGATGGCGCGGCCTGCGTTAGGATCGGCGGGGGTGGTGGGGGAGGGATGGTGGACGCTGGGACCGAGGTGGTTGGCACCTACGAGAATGGTTTGGCGGCCGTGCCACCGGCGCCGCCGCTGACGCCGGTGGGGGTGGCGATGGTGGTGGCGACTGCCGGTCGCCAGGACTTAGTCACGAGCTGCCCGTTGGCTCGACTTCCCCGACGCTCGATCGAGCGTGGAGACGCGTCGAGCCGTTAGCGAGAGACTGAAGGAGGCCGTCGTGCTCCCCACTGCCCCCCCTGCTCCCCCACCCCTGTTGTTCCCCCCCTCCCGCCCCAGTACTTTGGACGTGAGTCCTTTGAGATAATACCGCCGTTGTAAAACGCTACTCCCGCCGCACGTTCGCAAAGTGAAATTCATTCGTTGGTGGTTTTTCTTTTCAAGACCGTGGCTCTACCAGCGGTCATCTGTAAGTGAAGTGAGAACAAAAAGAGCTTCGGAGCTCATCGGATTTTTCCCGGACAAGTAAAGATTCTGACTCTGGGCCTGGTCCGCTGGAAACTCATCCAAGGGCGTGGCTTCCGACGCCACCACCGCCGCCTTCCCTGGCGATCAGCCACTGGGCATGGAGCGTGACGATCAGCCCACCTGACGATCAGCTGATCTCTCAGCTGGACGATCAGCTGATCTCCAACCTGTACGATCAGCTGATCTCCAAGCTGGATAATCAGCTGATCTCTCAGCTGGACAATCAGCCGGTCTCTCAGCTGGACGATCAGCAGATCTCCCAGCTGGATGATAAGCTGATCTCTAAGCTGGACGATCAGCTGATCTCCCTGCTGGACGATCAGCTGGTCTCCCAGCTGGACGATCAGCCAATCTCTCAGCTGGACGATCAGCCAGTCTCTCAGCTGGACGATCAGCTGATCTCTCAGCTGGATGATCAGCTGATCTCTCAGCTGTACGATCAGCTGATTTCCAAGATGGACGATCAGCTGATCTCCAAGCTGGACGATCAGCTGATCTCCAAGCTGGACGATCAGCTGATCTCCAAGCTGGACCATCAGTTGATCTCCCAGCTGGACGGGCCACCATTCAGCTGACTCGGCAGGCCGACGAGATCTCACTCCACATTCCCGTTGGGGCTGTCTACGGTCCGGAGCCACGTGCTGTCGGGATCCGAGTCCATCCTCCGGCATTGCGTGTTCCCACCCCCTCTCTTGCCAGTGAACACAACCCCCCAGGCCTGCCCCCCCCTCCCCACTTTCAATGTAACAGAAGCAGCGCGACAATGCATGGCTTCCGACTCGATTGGAATCACCTACAACAGCGGTCATTGACGCCCCCCCCCCCACTCGCCCCCCCCCCTCCTAAAACAGAGAGCCGTGGGAATCTTGGAGCCTTTCATGGGTAAAACCATCGTCGCAGCAGTAATAGTCATAATCATCATAAACAATCAAATTCTTCTACACGGCAGAGGCGGTGGCGCTCGCGTAACGAGACCTCAACCAGTGTTGTTCTTTCTCATTGATTCATCTTCAAATTACCACCCGTCACAGCCAACCAATCAATGGGCGGGGGGAGCCTGCCTGCGGTCATCGCCACATATCGTGGGTGACGAGCGGAATGGTGGTGGTGGTGGCGGCGGCGGCGACGGTGATGAAGATGATGGAGATGATGAAGATGAGGTGGTGGGTGGGTCGGTGGCGAGGAGGCGCAGCCGAGGGGAGGCGGTGGTGGCACCACGTGGAGACGTTCCCGCACCAGTCGGCCATCGGGAGCTTGTACCAAACCCCGCCAGGCCAGCGGCCACTCAAAAAGTACGAATCGGTGTCGCGGGAGAAGGCCTCGCGGTTAATGGCCCCCGCCGCTTGCCCCGTCTCAGCTCACTCGCTCGGACGGACGGACGGTCGGATGGTTGGTCGGTGGTCGGTCGGACAAACGAGGGTGAGGTCCGTGGGATTGAGAATGCGAGGGGGAAATGCGCGATGCGTGGAAGGCTGTACGTCCCATTGTGACGGCGATCACCATCGCCGTTTGTGTTCCACTTACAGCAGAACAATGCAGCCAGACAGACCCTCTCCGAGCGAGCGAGCGAGAGAGAGTTGGAGTACCGTGCGGATGACAACCGTGAGATTTCCAAGGATGGAAAAAAGTATGGATTTATTTATTTTTTTGGTCTGTGTGGGACAAAAAATATTTCCTGACTTCCCACTCCTACAAGCAATCCCCCCACCACTCACCCCTGCCACCAGCGCCACCACCACCACTCACCCCAACAACAGAACACAACTTCACAGCAGAAGGCATCTCAAGTGCGACTGTGGGAGCGCAAGAGCGAGCTGGGAAATTGGCGTGTGAGACGTCGCAAGATTTTTTGCGTTGTGTTTTATTCTCCTCCCCCCGTAGGCCCCAAGCAATAAATACGAGAGTCACTGGGTTTCCAATTATAGGGAGAATGTTACATTATGTTTTTTTTATTTTCACGACAACTTCCGATAGTCTTTCTGACGCTGCGATGGCTCGCGTCAAAATGCAACGCGTGTCCTCGAGCGAGCGACATCGACGACGGCCCGGTGCCACGTGGCCTCCACCTTTGGTGGGAAGGCAAACGGGGCAGTGACGTCACTTCCTGTGACGTCACACTTTCGGAAACAATCCGAAACGAACTAAATTCGGGCTGCCCGCCCCCCCCCAAAATATCGTCCAGATTTTATTTTGTATCGATCTCAACTTTGGGAACCGCATCCCTCGTGGAAAGTATTCTCTTAAGAATGTGGTAAAACAACAACAACAACTAAAATTAGACCAATTATGTTTTCACTCCACGTAATTAATTGGTGCGATGAACAGACGCGATTCCTAATAACCGCCCACTGGTCGGAAAGGATTATTCTTTTGGTATGGATTAATAGCAGAAGATTAAAGATGTAACTTTAGATGTTGTTATCCTACTCAATTGTCTCTTCAGACGCAGGGTGGGCCTCGTGCGTTCCTCCTTCAAAGGCGTGAAGACAGCGGGTCAGATGTCACGACAGTTTAAGTGGCCGCCACAAATGTGTGTGGTCGTCTTATTGGCATTCCAGACCGGGCTTGTTCAACAATTGCTGCTGAATTCCCAGATGTTGTTGACACTGGGCTAAAATTGGTCACGGGTTACATTATTCAACAACAACAGCAACAAATAATCATAATCCACGGCATCCGTAACACTTTCATCCTTAAGCAAACACAATTTTGGACGTGTAAATAGTTTGTTTGTTCTCGTGTCGGGCGGCAATAATTTTTTTTTTAATGGTAATGACATCGTTTTTTATATTCTATTCGTCAGATCAAATTTACAATCGCGTTCATTTTATATATATATACACACACGCGTTCAAACAGCACTTAATTGAGCGTGCAAAAAAGGGGGGGAAATTGGAAACCCAGTGAGAGATAAATTATTATTATTTTTCACGGAACAGTTGGAGGGGTGGGGGTGGGAGATCGGTGCCCTTGGGGGAAAGAGGATGAGATGATACCGCAGAGAGCGGGGGCGGTAACCCATTCTGTTTCGCTTCTCCAGCGTCACATCGGGTCCGCGAGACCACAACGTATGGGCAGCAGAGGTCGCAAACCGGTTTTGATTCCTTACCCGTACCCGGCCGCACCAGGGTCGCAAACGGGTACCTGTATCCGTACCCGGCCGTACCCGTACCCTACCCGTACCCGGCCGGGTACGGGTAGGGTACGGGTACCGGGTACCCGATTGCGACCTCTGGGATGAAGCCATGTTGCAGGCGCGGGTGGGTTGATTCTAGGAACTTGAATTGTGAGAAGAGACAAGACGTTGGGAAATGAGTGACAAACAGTTACTCACCAGTGACTCACGGCCTACCCGTACCCGTACCCTACCCGAAATGAGTGACAAACAGTTACTCACCAGTGACTCACGGCCTACCCTTACCCGGCCGCACCAGGGTCGCAAACGGGTACCCGTACCCGGCCGGTTGCGACCTCTGATGGGCAGATAGATAGAGAGAGGGGGGGAGGGCACACGCGGTGGCACGGCTCGGTTTGTGCAGTGGAAAACAAAATAACGACCCCGCACGGCTCGGCTCGTGGCGGTCGGGGGAACAAAAGTCATAAAAGAAAACGACGACCAAAAAAAAATCGGTTTGAGTGTCGACCACAAGCCGCGTGTTGTCGACGGGTCGACGCGGAGCGAACGTGGAGCGGTCCGGGGCATCCTCCTCCTCCTCCTCGAGGAAGTCTACCGGAGTTCTTGTGGAACTCATTCATCTACACATTGTTATTCTTCTTGCCGTGCTTTAGTTGTCACCCCCCCCCCCACCACCCCGCGCCGCCGCTCCGGTTCAGCACGGCTGGCTACGTACGGTGTAAAACAAGTTCGACATTCATGTGTATGCACCCTACTATACACTACACTATACACTACACTGCTATACACTATACTACTATACACTGCACTATACACTACACTATACACTGCACTATACACTACACTACAGCTATACACTACACTATACACTACACTATAGACTACACACTACTACACACCACTCTACACTACTACTGTACACTACACACTACTACTATACACTACACACTACACTATACACTATACTGCTATACACTACACTATACACTCCACTATTATGCACTACACTATACACTACACTACTATACACTACACTATACACTACACTACAATACACTACACTATACACTACGACTATACACTACTACTATACACTACACTATACACTACTACTATACACTACACTACACTCTACACTGCACTATACACTACACTACTACACACTACACTATACACTACACTACACACTACACCGCTCTACACTGCACTATACACTACACTACTACTATAAACTACACTATACACTACTACTATACACTAAACAATGCTACACACTACAGAACTATACACTACTACTATACACTACTAATACACACTAAACTATTACTATACACCGCACAATACTACACACTCCACTATGATACACTACTACTATACGCAACACCAATAGACTACATTGAGGACTAATTGTCCCCGCTACGTACGGTGCGAAAAAAAGTTCACACACAGACAGACATACATACAAGCCGGAGAGAATATTTACCCCCCCCGTCTAACTCAGGCAGAGAGAAGGAAGCGAAGGCCGTTACCCCAACGTTACCCCTATGTTAGCCCGAGTACACGTCAGCAATACCCCCCCCCCCCCCCACCGGCGTTCCTCTGGTGGTGGTGGTGGTGGTGGGGGAGGTCAAAGGGAAAGAATCGAACACACAAAGGAGAAATGGCCAATTCCTCACGTGCCCCCCCCCCTCCCCTCTCTCTCTCTTCTTCACTCAAAGTCAGCGGCTTGTCGGAGGGGCGGAGAAGCCCGGCCGACTAAAAAGAAAAAGCGCTTCATAGCTCATCGGATTCATCCAGTAGAAATGAATATTGAGAAAGAGAGGAGGCCACCTACTCAGCCACCCACTCAGCCACCTACTCAGCCACCCACCCTCCCACCCCTCGTTCCTACCAGCGACAAAAGCTGGGCCCCAGAACGCTGCCGAGTTTCTCTGTTTTTGTGTGTGTGTCCGTGGGAAGGGAGAGAGAGAGCGAGAGTTAGTGCATGGAATTTTAAGATGCGGTTTGTTGTGTGGTGTGATGTGTGGTGTGTGTGGTGTTCGTGTAGTGTGTTCTGGTGTGTGTGATTTGTGTGATGTGTGGTGTTCGTGTAGTGTGTGTGGTTTGTGTGGTGTGTGTGATGTGTGGTGTGGTGTTCGTGTAGTGTGTTGTGGTGTGTGTGGTGTGTGTGGTGTTCGTGTGGGGTGTTCTGGTGTGTCCGTGTGTGGTGCGTTTTGTTTCAGGCCCTATTATACAACTACGAGCCTAAGCAACTGTAATTACAAATTTAGTTATGTAGCGTTCTCTCTCTCCCCCCCCCCCCCCCCACTCCAAACGTATTTAACAAACAAAAAACGATGAAGCAGCACCAGCTAATGAAAACTCGTGACGGCTGCGAAAAAAAACCACAAAAAAACCACCACACACAATGCAGCTCTTAACTGACGACGTGGGTCACGCTATGGCTGGGCAGAATAAAAGTGGCTGTGATGCACTCGAAAAGCCAGAGGGGGCTTGGAGCAGCGAGGCGCCGTGGTTTTGGGTGTAAAACGGTGAATCGTGGGTGTTGGTGGAGAAGGTGGGCGAGTGAGTGGTGCTGCGTCGATTCCTCAAGATGCGCCACTTATTTTTCTGCTTTGTTCTCAAGATTGTAGGGTTGTTCCTTTGTTTCCCCCCCTGTCGACAGATGGGGGAGGGTAGGAGGGAGGGAGGCAGGGAGGTAGGCAGAAGGCCAACTTGGGAAGATTTGTGAAGATATTTTTACGTAAAAAATGAAACACACCGTGAGATGTAACAAAAAAAAGACAATAAAAATTACGGACATATTAGGGAGCTCTTCGTTGAGAAAAAAAATATGCGTTAGCCTAGGGTTGGAAGGAGGAAGGGAATCACAAAAGCCAGGGACTTAACGAGGGGAATATGAGAGAGAGAAAAAAAAGTGATTTCAGTCGAGTGGCTCACTGCTTTTGTTGCTGTTGAAAGAAGGCTGTGTAGGGGGCAAGCCACTCTGGACTTTCACGAGAAAAAAAATATTGAGAGCGAGCGTGCGCGTGCAAGAAGAAATGAGCAAATCGTTGACTTGTAAAAGTGTATTTAACTGTACATATCTGACTACTGCAATAGTGTTTTACGTTCAAAGTTATTATTAATATTATTATTACTTGTACAGAGATCGTGAATATTTCGAGGAGGGGAGGGAAACAAGACATGTGATGGAACTAAATTGTGATTAGATGCACTAAACCCACGTGACTGGAATTAGTTTTTTTATATATATGATACGAAACATTATCGTCGACGTCATCATTGTTGCATATTATTCTTATTATTATTAGCAAAACACTCCACACTACTGGGTAGTCGCGGGTTTTCCCAGAAACCAATCTTTCACGCTCACGGTGAGAATTCCTGTATCAAACACCTCATCTTTTTGCAGAATACAGGGCCTCCTCTACTTACGAACGAGTTCGGTTCCAGAGGTCTGTTCGTAAGTCGATCTGTTCGTAAGTCCAACTTTACTCCTGCCGATTGCAAACATGTTGTACGTTCTGCAGATGTAGATGCCACTGGTTCTTCACGTTCTGCAGATGTAGATGCCACTGGTCCTTCACGTTCTGCAGATGTAGATGCCACTGGTTCTTCACGTTCTGCAGATGTAGATGCCACTGGTCCTTCACGTTCTGCAGATGTAGATGCCACTGGTTCTTCACGTTCTGCAGATGTAGATGCCACTGGTTCTTCACGTTCTGCAGATGTAGATGCCACTGGTTCTTCACGTTCTGCAGATGTAGATGCCACTGGTTCTTCACGTTCTGCAGATGTAGATGCCACTGGTTCTTCACGTTCTGCAGATGTAGATGCCACTGGTCCTTCACGTTCTGCAGATGTAGATGCCACTGGTTCTTCACGTTCTGCAGATGTAGATGCCACTGGTTCTTCACGTTCTGCAGATGTAGATGCCACTGGTTCTTCACGTTCTGCAGATGTAGATGCCACTGGTTCTTCACGTTCTGCAGATGTAGATGCCACTGGTTCTTCACGTTCTGCAGATGTAGATGCCACTGGTTCTTCACGTTCTGCAGATGTAGATGCCACTGGTTCTTCACGTTCTGCAGATGTAGATGCCACTGGTTCTTCACGTTCTGCAGATGTAGATGCCACTGGTTCTTCACGTTCTGTAGATGTAGATGCCACTGGTCCTTCACGTTCTGCAGATGTAGATGCTACTGGTTCTTCGCGTTCTGTAGATGTAGATGCCACTGGTTCTTCACGTTCTGCAGATGTAGATACCACTGGTTCTTCACGTTCTGTCGCTGTAGATGCCACCACCGCCATCTGTTGCGTGGCGTTTGAACTTACGACTCTCGATCCGAGCGGGCAACTGGACATACGGATCTCTGAAAGTTCGTAAGTCGAATGTTCGTAAGTTGAGAAGTCCCTGTAATCTCGTTCGTGTGGCGTGTGGGAGATCAGTTGCGCGATTGTGCTGTGTGTGTGCGTGTGTTACCTCCTCCCGATTTCCGCTTTTCGGGTTGTGCCCCACGTGTTCATTCGGAATTGGAACGACTCAGCTCACACATTTTTTTTCTTTCACTTTGGGGGGTGGGGGGTAGCAATAAAAAATGTGGCAATTATAATTCGAACAGCCTTCGTTACAGGGGAAGGTCCCTTCGTCCGTAATATTTCTGCAGTAAATTCGATTCGTTTTTGTTAATCTCTCCTATAAGTTGGGTGTTGTTGTTCTCATTGAGCTGCTTCAATGCTGTACTCCACAGTACTGTAATTTGATCTTAATTTTGATTTGCTACGGTCATTTATTTTGTTTTTTTTCCTGGGTGTTTGCCAGGTCCGCGTTCACTTCTTGCAACTCTAGACGGAAATCTGCGCTCCTTTTTTTTTTAGAAAATTAACTTTCAACTTTAATTGTGTCCGTGTTACTGTGCAAGTTTAACCTGTTGCTGGCTTTCTGCCTCGGCATTGCTGCTTATTGATGCCGATCGACTCGCAAAACATCAAAGAGCTCAGCCAATCAGCGGCAGCAGCAGCAGCATCAGACCCCATATACAATCTAAGGGGAAATGTTTGAGCTGTGTCTGATCATTTGGCCGAAGCTGCTCCAGGCTCGTGGAGCGAACCGTCGGACATCGTATCGAACGACACGCGAACAGGGGAACACAACTCGAAAAACAGGACACACCGGGACAGCGATAACCTTTAGAGACCGGCTTACCTCTTTGCTGTCATCACTGTAAAGTTTAAAAAACTCTGTATTCACATATCACGTGTGTAATATTAAACAAAAAGCTTAGCTTAAAAAAAACAATCCTACGTAGGAGGAAAAAAAATGAAAATAATTACATCCCGTCCACTTATAAGCACGACAGCTCACATCGTGGTTGATCAAAACTCTCTACCCCCCCCCCCCCCACAAACCTCTAGCAGTGAAGTTCACACACAAAAGTTCGCGTGCTTTGGTGGTGTGTCGGTAACGTCATCGAGACGAGATTCACAATGGAAGGTCGAGGGGTGTTTTTGTTGTTGTTGTTGTGAGAAAGACGACAACAGCCGCTTCGTTACGAATTATATCGCTCGCGGCCTCCCTGCCGCGTGCGACATCGTCACGGGATATTTACCGGCGTGTGCACTTTTTTTCTGATTAATTGTTGTTCTAAGTTTACTGTGCGAAAATGTGTGGGCGGTTAGGGGAGGGGGGTGGGAGAAGGGGGGGGGGCTTAGAAACAAAGAGAAAACAAAAACATTTTCGACATTTGAAAATAAAAAAATGGTTAAATAAATAAGGACCGCATCAGCGCGCACCGCGGCCAAATCATCCGGGTGATGAGAAGTGGTGCCGCTGCGATGACGAAGGCGGGTCGGGTGGGGCCGGGATTGTACCATACGTGTAAATATGTGCCTTATCTAAAGCTCTGTAGTGCATATTGAATAACGACGAAAACAAGTCCCTGTTTACAAAACAAGACGACGACGTGGATACGCAACAAAAAAACAAAACGGAAACACAAAAACGGGAATCACCGTTGTCGTCGCTTCATCCGCGCGCGATTATATCTCTGCCGCAATTCTCGTGACGACCTCCCGTCGCTTCCGCTGGCCTGTCTCTCTGTGTGTGTGTGTGCGTGTGGCTCTCTCGCACGGACTTGGGGCTTTCGGTTGGAGGAATGTTGGCTTTTGTCAACGCATGGTCGACAAAAGCCAAGCGGCGGTGATGGTGGCGGGGGGGGGGGTTCTCAGGATGACGACGGCCGGGCGAGATGTTAACTACCTCGCCTGGTATACAGGAGGGTTTCGTGGGTTCGATTCCGTATATTTGGAGTTTGCGGTGTCTCTCTGTGTGTCCCCCCCCACCACCACCACCACAGTGGTCGCGTGGATTTTTCTCCGGGTCCTCCGGTTTTATTTGTATCCCCTCCACATTTAGGAATCGGCATCACGCGTTCAGAGCGATTTGGACCGCTGCTATAAATTTCCACGCGACGACGACGATGATGATGATACGGCCACTTCGTTGGGCTGTCATTTGTGACGGCCAGGTCGCTTCTGCAAAACTAAAAAAATAAAAAGTCTACGTAACTCAGTGGGGCCTTTTACCTGGTAAACTAAAATCATAGTTTAGTTGAAGACGGTAGGGAGATGGTGGGGGGGGGGGGGTGACAACACTTTCCAACTCAACCCGAGGGAGACTCTCCACTCTCCGTCCGCTCCTGAGAATCCAACTCGGTGCTTTAATCGGGCACCACGCTTTGCTCAAAGTCGGCTTACATCGCAACGGGTTATTGTTTCACGCGCGCGCATTTTTTTCGCGACAGCCAGAATTGAGTTCTTGTCATTTGCCTCTGTCATCACCCCCCACCACCCCCCCACACACCTCCCAGCACTGCTTGCAACCCTCTTCCTCACCACACGAAACTTCACTGAAGAGAAGAGAGAGAGATAGAGACAAGCCCCTACGAGTCGTGTGAGCTTGCTTACTGAAAGCCACCCCGAGCCATGCTTAGAGCGCGACTCTGGGGGCTGATGCAGCTTCTGGTTGCAATAATTGAGACAGGCGGGTTCCTGTTGATGTCGCCATATTTCAGGGGCCTGAGCCTCAATCCCCCCTCCCTCCCTCCCCTTCCTCCCTTCCTCCCTCCCCCCGAGAGACGAGAGATAGAAGTTGCCTTGGAAATCATCGTCGTATATTATTGTTGTTGTTGTTGTTTTGTTTTCGTTCGTCACTCGTGCGAGATGATTTTGGAGACGGGAAATAGAGGAGGAGGAGGAGGAGGGGGAGGGGGTGTGATGAAGAAGTCGAACGAAACTGTAGAGAGAGAAACTA